GATGGGATTTGAACGGAACACTGAGAAGGGGGAGGAGCTAAAAGGACCGATTATATATCCTTTGAGAAGTTCTTTGTCGATGAGCTGGGAAACTATGTTGGGTTCTTTAGCGGCTGACTAAGTTTCTTGCTACGAAAGTCACTGTGGGAGATGGGAGGACCCCTACCCTGAAGCCTTGGGAGAGCCCTGACAGGAGATAGTCAACAAACACGGAATCTGGGTGAGTAGATAGCGCAGCTGCTAGCTGAGGGATGTTAATGGGAGTGGAGGGGTGATATTCCAGAATGTTTTTAGTTATTTATTTTTTTATGTTTCTGGTGCAGAGCCACTGTGACGGCCCGTCCACACAGTGGCGTGCGTTACAGCTTCCAAACGCTTCTGCCCATTCACTTTGAATGGGGTGACGTCACTTTTAGCAGAACTGTATTTTGGGAAGCGACGTGGAGCGTTGCTGGCGTTGCTCGCTTCAAAAAGTTGAGCAATGTTCAACTTTTGGCGCCTCGGCAGAAGCGTCAGCCAATGAAATCCCGTTTATGCAAATCTGCCAGTACAAGCGCTAGCCAATCAGACCGCGTGTATGCTGGGAGAGACTACGCAGGTAATTCCTCATATTCCAAAAATTTGAGGGAAAATTCATTATAGCGGTAGTGAATCACCCGGTGCTGTATGATCAGTCTCTGTTCATCTACCGGGATACAAACCAGAGGAGCGAGGCATGGAGGGAGGTGGCAGAGACAGTGGGTGAAACTGGTAGGTTTTCGCCTGTTGGGGATTTTTTTTTTTTTTTTTTTTTCCAATTTACTTCATTTTAACATTGCTATTGCTTGTGTGTCGGGGGCAAGAGATTCATGTGATTGGTTGTTGCTGCTGTGCGGCCCAATAGCGTAGGCAGAAATGTACTTTAGGGTGGGCCTGTAAAAATATAGGGTGGGCCAGATTTTTCTTCTGCGCATCAGAAACTAACCACAATCCCGCCGGTAGATTACTTTTAGAATACTTCCTTTCTTCTCTTTTTTTTGTTGTTTTTCTTTCCTCTTCTTTTTATCTTTTCTTTCTCTTTAGAATACTTTCTTTTCCATAACAGATGGGTATGTTTTGGTGAACGGGAGACACGTATTTTACTGTTTTAATGGCTTATGAAGAGCACAAACACAAACATTTTAGTGTCATTCTGGACAGCTCTCTCATCTGCACCGCACATAAAAGAAAAAACTCACCCAGACTGCATTCTTTGTACTGTCTTAAAACCTTTCCTTGGAATAGTTTATGCATTGTAAGGTGTCCTTGGGTGCTTTGAAAGGCACCCCTAAATAGAATGCATTATCATTATTATTTATTATCTGAAACGATGTAATAACTTTTAAAACTTTTCCCAGTTACTTGCCCCATGCATGCGGCAGCAGCAGGCCATTCAGTTAGATTGATCCCGTTATAAATGTCATAATTTCGACAATAAATAAATGCTACATAAACGTTATCTTCCATGTTTTATCTAAACATCTCCGTTTCTACCTTCCAATATGTTTTGAAAGAGAACTCTCTCTCTCTCATCTGCGTGCGGGGCGGGGCCTCACGGACCACACGCTGCATCTCTCGCTCGCAGATACGCTGCAGCGCTGTGCACACGGTTCTGCCGGTAATTAATATTACATATTGTGAGGAAACTTTCCACCAATAATTCCAATAAGTATTCACTTCAGGTTTACGAAAGTAACTGCACTCAGATTACTCGTTTTTCAAATGTAACACCAGCTGAATATACTGATTTGTTTTCCCCTTCTGATTACGTAACACCGTTACATGTATTCCGTTACGACCCAACCCTGTGTAGGGGTGAGTGCAAACATTTTCGTTAAAACTAGTACCTGAGTGCAACGGAAGTTGAAGCTCCTGTGGCGGAGTCTTCCAGAGCCTGGAGGCGAGCATCGATAGCTATCATGGAGCTAGCCAGGGATTGCAGGGAGCCGGCCGCGCTACTCTCCATAAGGGGTGTGACACTCCCGGACTGGCGAGCCTGAGAAGGGGTGGATTTTTGGAGGGGGACGGGATCCTGGAGGGCTCGACTTCCTGCCCTTTTTTTACCTCCGCGGCTAAGGCCTCGTCCTCGCCCTGCTCTCTGGGGAGCTGACTGGAGCTGCTGCCCCGGACTGGGGAGCTACGCTGGAGACCTGGTCCGAGAGCTCTCGCAGCTGAGAGAGAGTGAGGCCTGGGGCTATGGGAAAGCCCTGCTGCAGGAGCCGGGCGATGAGGAAGTCTGCCTCTGTTGATAAGCCGCTGTGGGGAGCCGAACCGGGATCGGAGACTTCCAGAGAAGGTTCGTGTTCCGAATTGTCCGAGTTGGACATCTTGAGCTAGTTGTTTCTTACGGTTTTTCTCACGAGAAGCAGTATTGTATTGCAACTACCATTGCGTGTGATCATCTGCAATGACAACTGACAGGGAGGAAGAGCAGGCATTTAAGGAATTTAGCATGTGCAGCGATTGGCTGCTGAGGGGTGACGCCCTCGTATTTAATGAGGGGGGAAGGGAGCCATAGAGTGACGTGTAAGTGACTCGTGTTAGGTCTTCCTTATTGAACTTGCGCTAAAGCTTTCATTTCAACAGAATTCGCTAAGGAGCAAGTAGCGAGAGACGTCTGTCCACATGTCAGAGCCCCCAGACTGATAATTGTCCCAAGGCTTGTAGTAATCTCCAGCAGGTGTGCGCCGGCTGTGCCCTGCGATTGGAGTGCGTCGGGCCCGGCGTGCTCCAATCACAATCTTCAGGAGGCGGACCAGGAGATGGCAGCCAATAACGTCAGGGCAACCACACAGCTCATTTGCATATAACACAAGTTAACACAGTTAAAACGACCAGGAAGGCGGCAGTCGTAACACTCCCCCCCTTAATGTTAGGATTATGTTTTAAACAGGACCCAGGCGCAGGCAATGACTGAAGATGTTTAAATGGTTTATGGTTTCGGAGACTCAGGCAGGTTTGGTGACTATTGAGGTCGGCAGTTCAGGCTGGACTGATAACAAGGCAGGCAGGTATGATCAATCAATCAATGTTTATTTATATAGCCCAATATCACACATGTTACATTTGTCTCATAGGACTTCACAGTTTGTACAGAATATCAGTATGACAATTCGACACCCTCTGTCCTTAGACCCTCACATCGTACAAGGAAAAACTTCCGGAGAAAACCCACAGTTTAAAGGGAAAAAATTGGAGAAACCTCAGGGAGAGCAACAGAGGAGGGATCCCTCTCCCAGGACGGACAGACGTGCAATAGATGCCGTGTGTAAATTGAAAAGATAATACATTTGCAACATAGGTAGTCCAAATGTTTGGAAATGCATGTGTGTATAATAGGAAGATGAATCCACGAGGATATCCATCAAGGACTTATGATCCAGGACCACAGCCACGACTCAAGATCCAGGGCTCGCTCAGGCTGCTGCCTGCAAGGGAAACCACACACACACACACACACACACACACACACACACACACAGTTTGGGCCGTGACACTTGAGACACAAACCCACAGGTTTTGTGAAACTAAACACACTAACGAACCTACCTAATATCACCCACTAACATCACAAACTCAACCTGGACAATACATCGGCCAACACATTCTCTGAGCCCTGTTTAAGACGGATGTCTTATGTGGTAGTCCGCACGATCAGAGCCCATCCCATGAGACGCTGATCGTGCTTGTGCACGCTAAGGCAGGCTACGTAGGGATCGTAACAAAGGAACACGACTATGATTGGCCAAAGGCTGAGTCCTACACAGATCTCAACATGCTGTAGAGCTAACACCAAAACTAGGATGAGTATCCGATAAATTAGCAGACACTCTCGGGTTACTGGGAGAGTCGAAAAGTCGAGAGGCTTGTCTGAGCTGGCGTGTTGCGCTGGTCTCGCGACATCCTCATGAGGAGGGGAAGCCAACATTTCTGGCTTTCCCTCGGGCACAGCTTTATCTGGGAGCACCGGCACAATCACAGGATCAGACAATGGGACATCATAATCACTTTTACTCGCCTGTGTATGTGTAATCACGCCAATACCTCTTGGTGGGGACATGTTCTGCCGCTGTTCTTTACGCTTCAGAGCCACACAGTTGGCGATGACATGTCCAGGTTGATGACAATAGAAACACTCTCTCTCTTCTCTGTTCACATCTAGCGGCTGAGTAAACGGGGCGGCTGGCACACGGCGGGACCTCTCAGTAGAAACAGGGGAAAACACCGATTTATGCATGAGCATATATTCGTCAGCTAAGACAGCGGCGCAGCAGAGAGAGAGTTTACCATTTGTTCATTCAAGTATACTACAAAGGGATCAGGCAAATATCCCTTGAACTCCTCCAACATAATCAATTCCCTCAGAGAAGAATAATCTGTAGCATTACATGAGGCACTCCACTTAGCAAAAAACATTCCCTTTTCTCTGGCAAACTCTACGTGCGTTTGATCCGGTCCCTTCCTATGATTTCTAAACTTCTGCCGATAAGCTTCAGGAACTAACTCATACAGCCTGAGGATGGCACCTTTCACCACGTCATAATCTAGACTGTCCTCTAACATAAGAGCAGCAACCGCTTCCTGAGCTCTCCCGTGAAGTTTACACTGGACTAACAGAGCCCAGGCCTCAGCCGGCCACCGCAACGCTGTAGCAATGCGCTCAAAAGCACCAAAATATGCATCCACTTCAGTCTCACGGAAAATCGGCACTAACAAAATATTTGTACCTACATTGAAATGCTGTGCTATCTCATTCAAATCGTCCTCACCGGTCCAGCTGCTCATAGGACGGACAGACTAAGAAAGACTCAAAATCGAAAAGTGACATATTCAGATGAACTGCTTACAAACCTTACCGAATTGTTTCCAGCTATAAAAAAACACCTATAACCCCAGGAATTATGTTATTTATCCCGGACGACCCCCGGTGTATGTTACGTCCCCCTCTAGGGGTAGAGGAAAACAACACACACCAGTTGGAATTGGTATAATTATAATGGGTTTATTTTAAATAGCAGAGGTAAACAAAATGGCAGGCATGCAGCCTGGAACAACAAAAAAGGCCAAAAGAGCACAGGAACCAAACAAAAGGAGGACTCTAACAAAAGGAGTCTAATTGTATACAAGGGAACACTAAATACTAAATAAGAAACAAAACAAAACCTCACTTTCAAAGTGGTACAGCTAACAAAGGTTGTATCTTCCTGGTCCAATGTACTTATTGTAAGTCGCTTTGGATAAAAGCGTCAGCTAAATGCAATGTAATGTAATGTAATGTAAAAAAAAGAGTCTGTACAAAACACAGCTAAACTAAAGGCAACAGTCCAATCACAATCTTCAGGAGGCGGACCAGGAGATGGCAGCCAATGACGTCAGGGCAACCGCACAGCTCATTTGCATAACATAAGTTAACAGATTTAAAACGACCAGGAAGGCGGCAGTCGTAACACATGGTGTAAGTGTACGTTGTAAACAGGTGTAATTATTTCTGTTGTTTCAGCTGGAGAACCAAATGCTGAAGGCAAACACAAGAAAAGGAGAGCTGCTTCCTTCCAAACGGTTTCACAGCTCAACAAGGTGAGTTGACTGTTGATCAGACCTGCGGGAAAGAAAGACAGAATCATATACTTACATAAAATAAACAGACAAAATACATAGTGTCTATGTTTTTAAAAACACAGCCTTAATCAGAATATAATAACTGTTGATCACAAAATTTGGTTTTGGCGTTTGCTGCCATATTTGTCATTCCGAGAAAGGGGATGCGGCTTACGTGCAATTATAAAATCAGCATCCACATCGACTTACTGTTGCAGCTTGAGACTCTTGACATACAGGATAGATGTTCTCCAACTGTTTGTTTGTTTGTTTGTGCGTTTAAATGCAGGAGAATCTAAAGAAACTGATGGCCAACCTCCGCAACACTCAGCCTCACTTTGTGCGCTGCATCATCCCAAACCACTCCAAGAGTCCAGGTAACCAAACAACAGCAGCAAAACTAAAAGTTACTGCCACACATTTACAGCAAAAGTAACCTAGCATCAATGTTTCCCTTTCTGTGAAAGCACTTCAGATAGAATCTTATTTTTGGTACAGTCAATTAAAGATCTGTTTTTTATCAATATATTATAGGTCTCAGATATATACAAAACATGTCTCTGAAGTGTTTGTCTGAAACACCAAACAGATCATTGCAGCATTACCCATAATCCCCTCTGTTTCAGCCCTGTTTCCAAAGTGCTGATTCTCTGTCTGTTACTTTAGATGAAAATAAGGAGCCCCTCCCCACGCCCCTCTTTTGGTTACAAAGAACTCAATGTTGCTCTAGAAGGAGATTCATGTGATAAGGTGCGGGGGGGGGGGGGGGGGGGGGGGGGGGGTGGGTTACCTTGGTTGCTGATTGGCTAATGGTTACACAAGCCAACAAATCGTTATGACATCATAAAGTGGCCAAAATCTGATCAGCTCATTTTCAGACAGGTTTTTATAGAAATGGATCAGGACAAAAAGAGAGTGAATCTGTTTTTGCTGAAACTTTCAGAATCTCTTTACACAGAGGGGACACATGTTGATGTAGAAGAGACATGAAGAAGAGGGGACACATGTTGATGTAGAAGAAACATGAAGAAGAGGATTTTGCATAATAGGTGACCTTTAAGATCTTTCAAGAATCCTTATCTGTTCTCCAGGTTTGATGGATCCTTTCCTGGTCCTCCACCAACTGAGGTGTAATGGAGTCCTCGAGGGGATCAGGATCTGCAGGAAGGGCTTCCCAAACCGCATCCTGTATGCTGAGTTCAAACAACGGTCAGTCCCAAACCTAACCACACAGGTTTACATTTCCGTTGTTTTACTGATCAGTTTTGTCTTTTAAGTCATCAGGGTTTTCCCTCTGTAAGTACTTTCGAGACTGCTTCTCATAAATAACCCATTTATACTTTTCTTTCTCAGTTACCGCATCCTCAATCCTAATGCAATTCCTGAGGACTCGTTTGTGGACAGCAGAAAGGCTGTGGAGAAACTGCTTGGTTCTCTAGACATTGACCACAGCCAGTACAAGTTCGGACACACTAAGGTACAGCACTGTGAATAATACAACAGCACAAATACTGTGATTAATACAACGGCAAACATTATGATAACACAATAGCACTATATTAAGGTACACAAATTCACCATCAACTAGTTGTTTATTAACATGAATATTAGCAGTATGTTGGCTCTTTATTCGTCATTATAAAACACTTATTAATGCCTTATTCTACATGACCATATTCTACAAGAAATAAGCCATTAGTTGAGAGTTTTTCCTCAATAACCCTCTAATTAGTGCTTATTTATTGCAAGTAAGGTAGTTGTTGTACATTACTTTTGGTCTTAATATGCTCTGCTCAATATGGGCCTAATAAGGCAGTAGTAGCACAAGAATAGTAATTCTCCCATAATAACACTTAACAACTACGATCTATTCGTATGTAACAAGACATTAAACTATAAGTGTTAATTGTGTCTAAATAACTCAAAATTAGGTATGTATGTGCGCATCACTCTCACTACTCAATGGTAACGTGTATGTGGATTTAGAAACGTCCCCTTCCATCCTATTGGCTCTAACGGTTCAAAACAGGTGTCAATCATCAAAATCGACCGAGGGGGGCCAGAGATATGGCAAATCCACCCAAATGACCCCAGGAGTGTTTTTTTTTTGTGCTAAATCTCTCTAAAAAGGTCAAATGTCACTTGTTTTGCATCAATCTTGATGCAGGGTACTTATTATATGTTATAGTTTGGATTCCTATCCCATCATCCAAGGGTGGTTTTCACTAAGTAATGTTTATTTATATACACTATGATTTAAAAATGTTTACTATGTTCAATCTGAATTTACTTTAAAATAAAAAATGCTATATTGATTCTGACTCCTCTACATCCAACTCACAGGTGTATCATTGCTTTGAGAAAAAAGATTATTAATTTACCCCTTTTAGAAGTGAAGATATAGTCATTTGTTCGGGAATGTCATTTTCGAGCCTGAGACCTGAAAAATAGGCTTGGGACTTAACTGGTTAATAAGTGTTTTATAATGACTAATAAAGAGCCAATATACTGCTAATATGCATGTTAATTAACAACTAGTTGATGGTTAATTTGTGTACCTTAATATAAAGTGTTACCAACATTATTTCAATACTTCCTGGGTCTACTGTTAATACCACATCATATGAAAAAAAGACAAAACTGTTCTGTCTTTTTTCTTCAGGTGTTTTTTAAGGCGGGTCTGTTGGGTCTTTTGGAGGACATGAGGGACACCCGTCTGTCTGAGATCCTCACAATTGTTCAGGCCATGGCCAGAGGGAAGCTGATGAGGATGGCCCGAGAAGCGATGATGATTCAAAGGTCAATATAACAACCAGCAGATACGTTATTGATAAAATACAGTGTAGCAGCAAAAATGTAAGTGTATGATATTTCTTTGGGTAAAAACACAAGTGTGGTCTATAATTCTCCCTCTCAGGGATGCTGTACTGGTGATCCAGTTCAACCTCAGAGCGTTCTTCTCTGTGAGGACTTGGCCTTGGATGATGTTGTTCTACAAGCTGCGTCCGATGCTCAGGAGTGCCCAGGTGGAGAAAGAACTGGCTGCCCTTAAAGAAGCGTACAACAAGTTAAAAGAGGCCTTTGACAGGTCTGTCCACCGGTCGGCTCTTTAAACTCTGTGTACATTATTATTTACATGTTTTAAAGCAGGGTTAATTGAGTAAAATGAACTACATCCACACAGATATATGACTAATCACCATCTGTTGTATTTTCTCGGTCAGGTCAGAGATAAAGCGAGTGGAGGCGGAGGAGCGCCAGGTGATTTTGGTTCTGGAGAAAGACGACCTGTTTCTGCAGCTCCAAGCTGTGAGTAACATTGAAATTAAAAGGATTTAAATACCATACTTTGGAAAGTCCAATCAATATATACTATACTATTCACACGCAGTCTACCCATAACTCAAACTCAACTAAATGTTATTGGTTGCACGTTTATAATATTTGAAAATGAATGTCATGTCACAATTTAACATCTTTCAAGTAAAAATAAATGTTGTTTGTCAACAAGGTTTTATAAGATGAAGTTATGTGGGATCCTCATGGGTGTGTTTACAAGTCTGCTAGATCTTCCTATTTGTTTGCAGTTTGTTTCTATCTAATCCATACCATTTATCTCCAAATTTGACATTTACTTATTTAGATGAAAATAAAGGATTTCCTAAATGAATCAATTTGACGTGAGACAAGATTAGACTCTCTTAATCTTGTTTTCAATATCTCTAAAATGTCTCTTGTTTTTAATCATCCAGGAGCAGGACAGCCTGTCAGATGCAGAAGACCGCTGCAACCAGCTGATTCAGTCCAAAATCTCTCTGGAGTCGAAGCTGAAGGAAGCGCAGGAACGTCTGGAGGATGAGGAGGAGATGACGGCCACGCTGACGTCCAAGAAACGTCAGCTGGAGGAGGAGGTGATATCCCTGAAGAAAGACGTGGACGACCTGGAGATGACTCTGGCTAAAGTGGAGAAAGAGAGACATGGACTGGAGAACAAAGTATGTACATTTACAACCATGTATCACTGCATGGTTCCTTTACTTAACTATTCATCTTTTATTTTCTTTGTTTCTTAGCTTGAGAGCCTTTGTCTGCTACAATTGATGATTTTCGTATTTTCTTTTTGCCCAGGTGAAGAACCTGTCCAATGAGATGTGTGTTCTGGATGAATCCATAGCGTCTCTGACCAGAGAGAAAGTGGCCCTGCAGGAAGCTCACCAGCAGGCTCTGACTGACCTTCAGGCCCAGGAGGACAAGGTCAACATGCTGGCCAAGGCCAAAGCTCGGCTGGAGCAACAAGTGGACAATGTAAGTAAAAAGTGACCTAAAGAAAATGATGAATAAAACTGTCTGTCCAGATTTGAACAACTGTGTTAATCTTTATCCGTCTTTCTACTTAAAGTTTTACATTTATACAACATTATAAATGAAAGGACACGTTTCATTTGGAGTACCTCAATGTAGCTGTTTGGAGCCATTATTGTTTTCTGCCAATGATCTCGAGAACCATCTAAAAGACCTCTAGAATTTTCTCAAAGATCTATTCGTAGAAGACCCATAGAGCCTCCTTAATGGCCTCCTAAAGAAACTCTTTAATGATGACCTCATTCCTGAAGGTCCTGAAGAACCCCCAGAACCAATACTACACACTCCTTGGTGACCAAAGTAACCAACTACAAGACATCTAAAACCTCTTTAAAGACTTTTTTTGACATAGTATACTATGACTTTTTTTTACAAACTATATTATGACTTTCGACATTTACTAAATTGTGACTTTTTTTTACAAACTATACTATGACTTTTCTTTTACATTTACTAAATTGTGACTTTTTTTTACAAACTATACTATGACTTTTCTTTTACATTTACTAAATGATGACTTTTTTTGAAAAAATAGTATACTGACTTTTTTCGACAGAATTTACTATGACTGTGAAATTACCACCTTAAGGATCTCTGAATCTTGCCTGATGGTCAGTGGAACCTGAGGACCATTGTAACTTTCTAAAGGAACTTGATTAGAACTCTTTCATGACCTACAGTATTGAATTTCCTAAAGGATAACTACGGTCCCCAACAGAAACAACTACAGACCTCTAGGATCTCCTAAATTACCAATTGGACCTCTTCAATTACCACAACAGGAACTCTACAACCACCCCAAAGGCCACTAGAGGCTTGAGTTTTCTAGGACCAAAAGGACAACCTAAAGACCACATTAAGCCCATTAGGTGACCATAAATACTGGTAAATAAGGTACTGGTGTCTGACAGCATCGCCCTCTCTTCCCTATAGGTAGAAAGTTCCTTGGAGCTTGAGAAGAAGGTGCGGATTGATCTGGAACGATCCAAACGGAAGCTGGAGGGGGATCTGAAGCTTTCTTTTGACTCAGTGAAGAACATGGAGAATCAGAAGGAAGAGATGGAGGAGAAAATGAAAAAGTAAGACAAATATATCTGGAGCTGGTAGATTTTAAGTTGTATTTAGCCAATGTTTTTATCTTTTTCTCTTAGACAAATGATCCATAAGGACCAAGCTCTACTAACACATTGTGACGTTACGTTTGAACAAAGGCTGACACTACAAATTATTTGGTATTTTTGTTTCTCTTTCCGTCTCTTTCCATTGCTCCCTAAAGAAAAGACTTTGAAACGGTTCAGATTCAATCCAAACTGGAGGATGAACAGAGTTTGGGTGCTGCTTATCAGAAGAAGATCAAAGAGCTGCAGGTTAGTGGTAATAATTCAGAATATACATGTTAGCTTCCTGATTTTCGTCTTCCTCACTCTGAGTTGTGATCAATTCCTCAGACTCGTATTGAGGAGCTGGAGGAGGCGCTGGATGCAGAGCGGGTGTGGCGCACCAAAGCTGAACGTCAGAGGAACGACATCTCCATAGAACTGGAGGAACTGGGAGAGAGACTGGAGGAGGCCGGAGGAGCCTCTGCTGCTCAGATCGCTCTCAACAGGTCAGCAGCATCAACTCATAGAAACTTACATAGGCTCATTTATGTCTTTTTTTTTAGGGGGACATAGCAAGTCAACAGTATATGCCACATTGAAGTGGCATGCATCATCTAAAAGATTAATTAGAGATGCAATTCAAAATGATGTCAAGATTATCTGGTCATGGTTGGTTTGGTGCCTATTACATTTTGAAGATTAAGAATGGATAAGGGCAATGAAAGTTGTTGCCGGAATGTGTGTTGATACCATTTGTTACACAGATTTGGTGCCAAATTGAACACATTTCCACCACTCACGAATTGATATAAATATCAAAAAGCACTCCAAAATAAGACACAACAATTATTGAAACTATTATATTTTGTCAACGATTGGATTGGGATTACTTCTGTTTTGGCAACTGCTCAGAAATCCCCTTTTCGTCTCGAGACTGTGCTTACCCTTAAGCTCACAACCAGTCACTTTAAAGAGCGAAGTCAGCTTAGATTTTCTAGTTTCATATGATATTAATATATTAAAATTAAATCCTGGAGGTTTTGACTGTCATAAAAATGTATTTCTGCATTCAAGTTCCCTCAGAATGAATTGTAATGACGATTGGAAGGTGCCTTCACTCAGACAGAGTCGTGGCTCCTGTGATTTTAAATTGTAACTACCTTGATGTCAAACAGGAAGAGGGAGGCCGACTTCCTGAAGATGCGGCGGGAGCTCGAGGAGGCGGGGCTTCACCACGAGGTGACGGCCGCCACTCTGAGGAAGAAGCACTCGGACTCGGTGATGGAGCTCAGTGAGCAGATCGACAATCTGCAGAGAACCAAACAGAAACTGGAGAAGGAGAAGATGGAGTACAGGCTGGAGGCCGATGACCTGGCTGCCAACGTGGAGCATCTGTCCAGGAACAAGGTGGATAACAATGTCCTATTACACAGATTTAAAGGAGTATTTCAACAACATTAAGGGGTATTACACCTGATTAACATCATCCTACTTGTCATGTTGAGTAAGGAGGCAATACAACAGTTTGTTTACAAGGAAAGGATGGTCATATTAAGTGTTTCTGGTTTTGAACTCTTATTAGGGAAAAGGATTCATTTTCAAACCAGATTAAAACATGCTTTAACAAAAAATCTTGTTGCACCAAACTTAAAAAGTTGTTGAAACTTAACTTTTAAATTGAAACCTCTCTTTAAATATCAGTCCTAGATCTAGATAACATTTAATTTTGTTGCACCACAACTTCAATTTTAAATCTGATTCACCAACAACTTTGAAATGAAGTGTGTGTGTGTGTGTCTGTTTGTAGACTGCTGCTGAGAAGATGTGCAAGGTTTATGAGGACCAGCTGAACGAAAGCAGGAGCCGAGCGGAGGAGCTGCAGAGACAACTGACCGACGTTTCTACTCAGAAAGCGAGAGCCGTTACAGAGAATGGTACCACGAAACACACATTTTCCGTTATCCAGCATTATATCCTACTAAGGTTCTCTTAATGTGCAAAGGACTATATTTTTGGGTCACGGACTGACACGATAGTTGTAGTACTACCTTTTGGCCACTATGTGACGTTGTTTCTCTTCCTATCTTTGTTGTTCTTTAGCCGAGTACAGCCGTCGTCTTGAGGAGCGGGAAGCTATGATTAGTCAGCTCCAGCGCTCCAAGGTGGGGGCGTGCCAAAACGCTGAAGACCTAAAGAGGCAGCTGGAGGAGCAGAGCAAAGTAACATTACATACTCATACATTCTCACACTTTTACGTTGATTCAAAGAAGTAAACTATCTTTGATGAAGGTTTTTGTTGGGAAAATACTGAATGTACTCTTCCAATATCAGAGTACCATGATAACAAAGTCCCTACGTAGCTGTGTATGTGACAGGATGTATGATTACCTAGAAGAGCATCAGGACTGTTGTAGGCATATGATAGCTATGTGATGAACATGATGATTCAGCCTCTATGGAGATAGCCATATGACAAGCATGCTCATTTCTGACGTGGAGCTAATCTGAAGTAAACATTGAATACTGTTTTATTCCTCCATCTTGTGACTGTGTAACTCCCTCTCTTGGATATCAGCATGTGAAGGACACTGTTCAGGAAATAGTTGATGCTCTGTATGTGATGACTACTTCCATGCAAGGATTATAAATACATAGTAGTTATGCAATGAATGAAACACTTGGGTCACAGGTTCCTCAACAGTGCATTACAAGACATCTATCAATATGTGTGTACCTCCACCATTAAACTGTCATATTCTGCACATTTCTTATTCTATCTACATACATAAGAGTATAATTCATATGTATAATATCAGTTAAAATAAGTGCTTCAACATAGTTAACATTGCAGGAAAGCAATATATTAGACGTTAAGTACTTTGTCAGGCTTAATATTTATCTGTAGATAGATACCCCCAAAGTTTTTTTTCTTATTTAAAAGAAGACCTTAATCTGTTATTTAATGTTTTAAATAAAGGTTAATTCGTTTTTCTGTTTTGCACCTCCTCCTATTAATATCTTTGTACATTCTGCACTAAACTGTTTTATTGTAGAGATCACTTATAGTATCTTCTTGATTTTTTATATTCTATATTTATACTTTCCCCCTGTGAAAGTATGTACTCTTAATATTTTTTTAATCAAATAAAACACAATAATTCAATAACGTGCTTTAACCACTAGGCGGTGCACACAAGGTACACACAGCCATAATAACTTTGTATTATTAGTGTAGGACACTTGTGTTTTCGTACAACATCTGAAGATGTGTAGTTTTATGCATGCTTTCACATAATTGTACAGCATATTGCTATACTATTTCAGACTCAGTATTTACATTCTTACATTCAAAGAAAATCAGTAATATCTTTAAAAACTACAGTCCTTTTATATCAGCTGTGCACCGTTATGGTGTAAATATAACCTATCTGTGAATTAGATCAAATGTAAAAGTCAGCCGAATTAGTGTTGATACTGCAAGGAGACGTATTGTGTGAAGAGAAATTGAAGATGTTGTTTAATTGTTGAATATATTTATGATCCACGTCAATTATTCAGTTTCGGCGGCATTTTCTCAGTTTTTCCAAAGGTCTTCTCATCAGGGCTCTATAAATAAAGAACTACGGCTGATCTGTAATATACCATGCAGCCGAACCGTGTATTACAATGCCGTTATGTGATGACTTTCAAAGAGAAAAGCAAGAGCGCTCGGAATTAAGTATTATTTTAAAAATGTTTTCCGGATTTCATATCATATAAACACCAAATCCCAGCATGCATTGCGGCTAAAACATCCAATAAGCGAGCTTAAAACCATAGCTGAGGATCTTGGGTAATCACTCGAAATGCCTACGTCTGTTTCCGGTTATTTTTATTTTGAAATTCAGTTCCTGACGGACGCCAAAAAAGACAGAGATTATGGAATTAAACCAATAAATAAAAGCAAGGATAATTGTGTATTATTGGTGAGTAAATAACAGTGTGTTATTTTGATAAGAATAACAAATAAGAAGGAAAAAAAGATTTAAAAAATACAGATTTCAGTATTCTGAGGCTCTGAGCCCCATTTATTTTCCTCATAGACGGCAACAAAAGTCCAAAATTATACGATTTCAAATAAAAGCAATAACTGTGGCTTGATATTGAGTAAGAACATGTTTTTATGAACCACACAGCTTCCGGTCTTCCTCGACCCGACCGGAGAAAAAGACGTGCTGCAGGCAGTAGAAATACATTGCTTTTAAAATCGTGCTGTGCAACACGAAAAAAAGGGGCAAATCGTGTTGGTGAACACGAATCAATAGATTAAAAATCGTGTTGGTGAACACAAAATGCCGTGAGACTGGGTTGGGATATCAGCATGTGAAGGACACTGTTCAGGAACTAGTTGATGCTCTGTATGTGATGACTACTTCCATGCAAGGATTATAAATACATGTATCCTAATTATTGAAGGTGACGAGTGATATTTTACCAACAGTTTTTTTATGGATAAGAGTATCTGGTATATTTGTTTGTGTTTCAGGCCCGTGTGTCGCTGGCCCATGCAGTGCAGGGGTCCCGTCACGACAGCAGTCTGCTGAGAGAGCAGCTGGAGGAGGAGCAGGAGGCGAAGGCTGAGCTGCAGAGGGAGCTGTCCAAAGCCAACGGGCAGGTGGTTCAGTGGAGAGCCAAGTACGAGACGGACGCCGTGATGAGGATAGAAGAACTAGAGGACGCCAAGTTAGTACTTCTGATACTACTTAAAGCACTTTGAATTGCCTTGTGTTGAAAAGTGCTACATAAATAAACTTGCCTTGCCTTGCCTTACTATTGCTACTGTAAGGCTATGACTATCGATGCTATTTGGTTTAGGTCGTTTTGAAATACCCTTAACAAAGCTGTGAATATTCATGTTCCCCAGAGGATCTATGCCCAAGCACAAACATCAGGGCGTTCTATCTGAAGGAATACTCCCAAAATGATCACTTACTCATCCCATAGTACCTTGAATTTGTGAGAATTGTCCATGGTAAATGAACAATTCCATGGTAAATGAGGAAGCATAAAATACTTGATTAATTGAAGTATGTGTCAAGCGCGTTTAACCACAGCGTTATTATATCAAAAATATTTGTATGCACTATAATTAATAATTGATGTTCACTGGGACACTTTTACGAGGTGTTTAAATAGTCAGGTTTCAGAAAAAAAGCATGAGTTTGGGAAGAATATTGAATGAATGACACCTTGATTATACTGCATGGAAGTTATGCAGATGTAAACCCTATTTAGTTCAGTACATCAGTCATTTCCTCCGTTATATTATAAGTGTCCTTCCGTACTTTACTAAGTTAATTTTGTAATTGTTTGTTGTTAGGAAGAAGTTGGTCGTCAAACTGCAGAACACGGAGGAAGCTGTGGAATCATCTCATGCCAAATGTTCCTCACTGGAGAAAAGCAAGTTGAGTCTGCAGACAGAGATCGAAGACCTGGTGGTTGAACTGGAACGAACCAACTCTGCTGCTCTGGCTCTGGACAAGAAGCAACGCAACTTCGACAAGGTCAACAAAAACCAACCATAACCCTCAAAATACTTATAAACAATGGAGGATGTTTAAAACAAGCCTCAACACTTTGTGAGAAGTTTGATGTTTTCTTTGCTTGATGCAGTTGTTGGGTGACTGGAAGCTGAAGTTTGATGAGAGTCAGACGGACCTGGAGGCGTCGCAGAAAGAGTCGCGCAGTCTGAGCACCGAGCTCTTCAAACTGAAGAACTGCTACGAAGAAGCTCTGGACCATCTGGAGACGGTCAAGAGAGAAAACAAGAACCTGCAAGGTACTCCCAGAATCTGAGCAGCAACATCAACAACTTTAGTTTTTTTGGTGGACTAGGTTCAGCTGGGTCAGGTTTTGAGTTATATTTTGATATGAATATAATCAGGTTTTATAACTAGCAAACTCAAGCAAAGAAAAAAACAATGAATACATCGCTGTTATATCTCTCACAGGCTCCGCCCTCTACTGGACTCTATGGGTACTACCTTACCCTGCGAGCATTCTCCCACTGAGACTTCTATAGACGTAGCCGGCCTTGGGTGGGCCTACCTGAATGCGCACGCATCACACCGTATAAAAGGAGGCCTCACCTCCTGACAATCATCCTTTTCTCTTCAGCAGCGGAGGTGATTCCACGAAAGACTGAGAGACGTTTAAAAAGAGTTATCATACCTCCAGGGAGTCGCCACTGCTATATTCGAGTGTTTGGGGGACCAGGATATGGCCGAGGCGGTGCCATTCACGTTCGCCATTCCTTCCGGGTCTGGCGTCCATGGAAGTCCACCGCCCAGGGCTGTACTCTCCCTGGATGATGATCATGGCGGCGGGTGTGTGGGCTACTCACTCATTGCTAGAGATGCCCCCGCCTCACCAGGTCAGAGCGATTATTGGGCCGCAAGGCCGAATAAGTAGCTTGGTCCACGGGCCTTGCCCCAGGCCCGGTTCCCCCGGGGACCGGTGCTCGGTGGCTTCACATGATATAGGGTCGACCCTACTTCATCACAGGCCGCCGCCGCTGCCCGCCGTGTGATGTCCCTGGGATATCACGCCGCGTGGCACTTTCCAAAGAGGATCGTGTTGATCTCCTGGGAGCCCCCGTGTTTACGGAGGGCTCTTTGGCTCGATCTCCTTGCTCACGGGATGAGGAGTAGTCGCAGCGTGGCTGCTTCTTGCCCATTCCCAGAGGAAGAAACACTGTCCTACACTCCCCGCCCCCGCTGTAAACCCCAGTATATGGAGCCAGCAGGGGGGCGTGTGCACGTGAGTGGAATAAACCGAGTGCTGTCAAAGCACTGTGCGGGTTCAAGAGACGCTATTGCCGGCGTGCTGTTGTCAGAAAACACACCTTGCCTGGTATAATAGCCCCGATTAATGCATTTCACCGTTGCAATGGGAAATACAGCATTAATACGTGGGCGCGCGGCCCTCGTGAGAGTGGCCACGGTGCGTTCAGGGACCCCCGCAGGAGAACGGTGGTTTACGTTTGTAAACTCTAGTTCTGGAGTGAGGTATGTGTGTGGGAAAAATGCATTCAGTAAAGACTATTGCATTTATCCCAGAGTAAGAGTAATTTCTCTCCACAATTCCACTTTCCCCCATAATGTCCGTTTCAAAGAGACGGCATTGTGACGGCGCGCGCGGCCCCCCTCCCCCGAGGGCGGGCCACGGTGCGTTCAAAGACCTCAGTAGAGAGGTGAGACGAAGGGAGAGGTGCCGACACGGAGATCCCGTGCCCGCGGCGCCCTCCACCTCTGCGGCCCACCCCGTGGAACCGGCGTGCCGGCACTCACTGGGACGGGCTTTCCGTCTTTACGGATCTGGCTGGCGGGGGGAGAAAATCTCTCCGCCCGGGACGAGGGGGCGAATCCCGCCTCCTCCCTGTATAATGCACAGATCACTACGTTTTCTAAATAGAAATGAGGTTGATCTGTATCCAAGTCTAAGTGTCTTTTGTTTCCACAAGGGCCACACTTACACAGAATGTTAACCGTACAAATTCCCCATTCGCTGCCCCATGCTGCAGCTCCTGTAAAGGAGGTGGCTAGTGGGCATGCGCAGATGAGAGGGATGAACCGCAGGGAGTGATATCTAAGGGAGAGCACTATGCGGGTACAGGGACATTATGGCCGGCGTATTGCTGTCAGAGAACACACTACGCCTAGAGCAAAGACTCCAATGCAGTTTTCCGTAGTGGTAAAGGCTGCATTATGGCGGAGCCCGCACTCACACAAGAGCGCGTGGCGGTGCGTTCAGGGACCTTAGTAAAACACACTACGCCTATAAAGACTCCAATGAATGCTGTTTACCGTAGTGGTGAGAACAGCATTAGGGTGGAGCGCGCGCTCACACAAGAGCGCGCGGCGGTGCGTTCAGGGTCCTCAGTAAATAATCGGCCCTTTCTGTGTCAACCCTCCATGGGCAAATCTTCCCTTCGCGGGGAGTTTTTGCGGCGGAACGGGTCACCAGAGAGTATCACAGCTTCATAGCTGCTGCCCCACACCTGAGGGCTTGTCCATTAACACAATGTTCTGGGGAATGGAAACTCAGCTGTGTGCTTACAAGGTGGAGGGACAGGACGCTGAAACGGGGCCATTCACTCCAGTTTTGCAGCGTCCCACTGTACCACATGTCTATACACTGTACCAATGTATCACATGGACCACTGTCTTGTGGGTGTCCCACACCCACCTTCTTTATGGGCATGCAAGAGGTAAATCTTTCCTCCCAGGAGGAGATGTGTTTCCTCTCAGCAGAGATTCAGGCTCTGGTGCAGAAACAGGCTGTGTCTGTTGTGCACCCTCAGCACAGAGAAAATGATCTTTATTCCATGTACTTCCTGGTTCTCAGGAAGACAGGGGAATTTAGACCTATTCTAGATCTCAGCGGCCTGAATCGCCACATTTCCTGCAGGAAATTCCGCAGGTTAACTATGAAATAGTTACTGGGGCTTGTGCAGCCAGGCGATTGGTTCACCACCATCGACCTGAAAGACGCGTACTTTCATGTAGAAATTGCTCCAGAGCACAGAAAGTATCTGCGTTTTGCCTTCCAGGGAATAGCCTACGAGTACAACAGGCTGCCGTTCGGCTATTCCCTATCCCCACGCACATTCAGCAAATGTGTGGCCACAGCGCTTCAACCGCTGTGCGCACACGGCATGAGAGTTTTATTTTACATAGACGACCTCATAGTCATGGCTGGGTCACGGGAACAGGCAATGTTTTGCACAGCACAATTGATCCCACACCTGACCAAATTTGGCTTTGCAATCAATTGGAAAAAGAGCACCCCCATACCTCACCAACGGGCGCTGTATTTGGGTGTGGTGCTCGATGCATGCGCGTCGCGCGCCACCCTGTCAGAGAGCAGACGTGCGTCCCTTCTTCAGGGGGTGCGCAGGCTGCGACAGGGGGCAACAGTGACAGCTTTTACTGTCATGCAGACATTGGGTCTCATGGCGGCTGCTCACATGGTGGTCCCGTTAGGGTTACTACATATGCGCCGCCTGCAGAGGTGTTTCTCCAGCCTGCGCTTGGATCCCAAGAGGCACAGGCGGCGGCTGGTGACCACCCCCCCCCCCCCTCAGTGGAGGGCAACCTCCGGTTTTGGGGGTCTCCGGATCACCTCCGGAGGGGGTCTCCACTGGGACGGGTGACCTCCTACATCACAGTGTTCACGGATGCATCCAGAACAGGATGGGGAGGGACCTTTCTGAAGAGCGCTATAGGTGGGCGCTGGGCTCTAACAGAGTCTCGACACAGCAACCTCCTAGAGCTACGGGCGGTAGTGTTAGTCCTCCAGCATTTCAGGCCCCTAATTCAAGGGAGGCATGTAATGGTCAGGAGCGACAACAGCACCACAGTGGCTTACATCAACAGGCAGGGCGGAGTTCGATCTGCCGCCTTGTTGACCACAGCAGAGGAACTGTGGTTATGGGCTTCAGAGGTGGTGTTATCTCTGAGAGCCCTCCATATCCCGGGACTGGAGAACAGAGGGGCCGACCTCATGTCGAGGAGCGGCCCCCTGCCAGGCGAGTGGGTGCTTCACCCGAGGGTGGTGAAGCAAATCTGGGCCCAGTTCGGGAGAGCGGAAGTGGATCTGTTCGCCAGCCGGCGAAACAGCCACTGTGCCCTGTGGTTCTCCGTGGCTCGGAGCGACGACCCACCCTTGGGGGTGGACGCGTTTGCACACGAGCCATGGCCAAGGAAGCTGCTATACGCCTTTCCACCGCTGCGTCTCATTCTCCCCCTCCTGAGGAGAGTGAGGCGAGAACGTCTGTCAGTCATCCTAGTGGCTCCGGATCGCGTTGGGGCGCCGTGGTACTCAGAGATGACACAGATGAAGGTGGGCCAGCCCTGGGCGGTTCCCCAGTTCTGGGGGCGATGTCTCAAGAGGCAGGTGCAATCGGGGCGTTACCCACTCTCGGCCGTCCTCTCCAGGTTTGGCTCCTGAGAGGGACAGGCTGAGACAGGGTGGATTGTCTGATAGTGTTATTGAGGCTATCCAGGCAGCTAGAGCTGGATCCACCACAGCCTGTTACAGGCCAAGGTGGCTAGGATTCCAGCGATGGTGTGAGGAGCGGAGAATAGAGCCCCTATCTTGTGAGTTAGGCTCTATTTTATCCTTCTTACAGTTACAGCTTGCGCATTCAACAGTGAAAGTGTATGCAGCAACCATCTCGTCCTGCCATGAGGGATTTGGCGGCAGGTCAGCCTTTAGTCAACCACTGATGTCGCGGTTTTTACAGGGGGTCAGGAGGCTGCGCCCAGTAGTGCACGCCTCCACCCCACAGTGGGACCTGCCCCTAGTGCTCGAGGCTCTGGCCTCGGGGCCGTTTGAGCCTCTGGAGCTCTCCTCTCTGAAAGCATTGTCGTGGAAAACAGCTTTGCTTCTTGCCTTAACGTCAGCCAAAAGAGTGTCCGAGTTAACTGCTCTGTCGGTGCACCCGAGCTGTTTACAGATCGGGGTGACCAGAGCGGCGCGACACTCAGACCGAACCCCTCCTTTGTGCCCAAGAGCCTAAGGAGTGCGTTCAGGTCAAGGGCTATTCAGTTAGGGGGTTTTAGTCTTCCCCCCCATGGTGGGACCAGGGAAGCTAAACTGCACCTCCTCTGCCCGGTGCGTGCGCTAGCATGTTATGTGGAGCGCACGGCTGCCCTTAGACGCACCGAACAGCTATTCGTGTGCTTCGGGGGCGGGGTGATCGGGAAAGCTCTGTCCAAGAAACGCCTGGCAGGCTGGCTCTGCGAGTGCATTGCACATGCCTACGGACAGGCAGGGAGAGCCTGCCCCACGGGGGTTCGTGCACATTCCACACGGGCTGTGGCTGCGTCAACAGCCTTATTCAACGGTGTGAGTGTGGAGGATATATGCACAGCGGCGTCTTGGTCGACGCCAGGCCCCTTCATAAGGTTTTATCTCTTGGACATGTCGGGCTCTTTCTCCTCGTCTGTGCTT